TGGACATTGGCGCCTTGACCGCTGAGGATGAGGCCACGGACGACGACTCCTTAAGGGCTCTTTTCGAACCCTTTGGCAACATCACGTCGGTGGTTGCCATGAAGGAGACCAGCTTGCAACATGTTCACTTTGGGCAGTGCTTGATGGCGGGCACTCCAAACAGGAGGGTAATGGCAAATGCAAGGCAAGATCAGTGGCAATGAGATGCAAAGTCGAGGGTTACACTTTGCAGCTCACCGAATGTAGTCGTGATTGCATGACGCGTGCAGGGCTTCGGCTTCGTGTGCTTCTCCTCTCCGGACGAAGCCACCAAGGCGGTTACCGAGATGCACCTCAAGGACGGAGCCAGTTCTCTATAGTGCCTGAGCGTCTTGGACAATTCCGGGACCCAGCTTCCGATGATAGGTCGTGAAGGGAAAGCCTCTGTACGTGGGCCTGGCAGAGAAGCGTGACGTCCGAGCCGAGCGCCTGCGTGGCCTGGCCGACGAAATCTTATGACTTCCGACGGTTCTATGCAAGTGCAAATCAGGCAAGCTGCTCATCGGTTTGGGATTCTGAGCAGCCGAGGTCAGCGCTACTCCCCTGGCGGCATGGGCAAGGGCATGGGAGGAAAAGGAAAGGGTGGAAAGGGCGGTATGGGCATGGGCGGCATGGGCATGGGTGGTAACCAGATGTACGGTAGCCCGATGGGCGGCATGGGTGGTCCCATGGGAGGTCCGCCAATGATGGGCATGGGTGGCATGGGCAAAGGCAACATGATGGGCCAGGGCGGACCGAATCCAGGAATGATGGGTCAGAAGGGCAAGGGCATGCCGAGCATGCCAATGAACCCTCAGATGATGGGAATGGGTGCCATGGGCAAGGGCATGCCTGGTGCAATGGGAATGCCCGGAGCAATGGGCAAAGGAGGCATGCCGATGCCAATGGGCCCCATGGGCCCAATGGGCCCAATGGGAATGATGAGACCCGCCATGCCTCAAATGCCGATGATGCGCCCAGGCCGGATGCTAGGGCTTGCCGTGGCAAAGCTTGGAGCCGCCGTGCGCCAGGTATGCCTGCCCCAATGCCGCAGCCTACGCAGCCGGCACCCGCCGCCAACCCAGGCACGGAGCTTACGATCACGCTACACAGGCTTTCTCGCTCCATGCACGGCTATCGCTCAGAGTTCGGTGTACAAGGATCTGGGGGGCAGCAACTGACAGCTGCAGCCCTCGCCGCTGCTGCACCGCCAGTGGCATGCCTAGATTTGCCAACATGGCAGTACCACTGCCAATCATGGCATGTTACACGCCTTGTTTGTCAGCGACATCCGGAAGTAAAGCGAAGCATGAGGCAACAGAGACAGCAATGTTGCTGCAGCAGTAGCAGCAAGCTGGCTGGTGATAGCTCCATCAAACACGAACCAGCAGAAGCAAACTCTGCTTCAGAGTTCGGTCTTACTGTGGCCGGATGATGGGATGGTACATATTGTACCTGCACGCTGCGCTTGCAGCACAGCTTACCACATTACTACATATCCGATAGTCTGCAGATACACTTGTGCATGACCATGCTGACGATGGTCTAGAGTGTACAGTCAGGTCACGAGGAGTCGTCTGGCAATCACGGTTGTCTGGGTGGGCAGCGAACCATGGGTTGGGGATTGACACCACGGTGCTGTACATAGCTGGACAAGGATTCGAGGCAGCTTGTCGGGTTGCTTGCGGCCGGCTGATCATGAGCGAGCTTGAGTGACCCTGTCAATCTTGCTTTTCACGGACAACCTTGCCGCCGCACGCCCCATTTCGCACAGATGTTCAAGGTTACCGGGCCTTATCCCCCAAAACCCGACCCAAGCAGAGACTACTTGGCTGGTGCTCTTGGCATTGTTGATTGTTGACCACAGGAACAGCGTCCAGATGTCCCAGTAAAAAACATTGAGGTTCAGGAAGCGCGTTTGCAGCGCGGAGCTCCAAAGCACAGCCCGCTACGGCTTCAGGAAGCGCAGAGCGTCAAAGCTTCAGGCAAGCAAGATCGAAGCTCCGGAGCACTGCGCGTCATGCTCAAAGCATCAGGAGAAGCGCGAAGCTGCGAAGCACAGTCTGTCAGAGTTTCAGGCGAAAATCCGAGCCTCCGAAGTTCGAAGCGTCGGAGCATGAGCCGCATTGTGAGCAACACGGGGATTCTCTCAAATGAACTCCAATGAAAGTCAAAGCGAGAGACCGGCCATGCTAATTCGGGTCTGGGTGTCCGTGGTTGCTGGACCGATGTGAGTCGCTCGTGTCAAAAGCACATCACTTCAGCATCGTAAACTGCAGAAAACAGTGCAGGCGTCACATTCTCAACCTTCCTGAGTGTTGCGTGCCGTTTGGCTTGTGACAACTTGGGAGGGCTTGGCGAGGAGTCTTTAACGCGAGCTTGTGTTTCTGACTGCCTTTCCACTACTGATCTTGGGTTGCGAAGTTCCAGTTTCTAAAAGAGCCCCACACAGACCAATTTATCTCACACAGATAATCGGCTAGTCCTATTGTTCTGCTGCTCCCTGCACGACTCAGAGTCGCCTGAGGTGCAGAAGCAGCTGATTGGCGAGCGTCTGTTCCCGGCCATCTCCAAGTACCAGCCAGAGCTGGCAGGTAAGATCACAGGCCCAGCAGAGGGTTTGGAACGGGTAGACGCCATGAAGCAACGCACCACCCGCTAGGCATGATGCTCGAGATGGACAATTCTGAACTGTTGATCTTGTTGGACAGCGAGCCCCAGCTCAAAGCCAAGGTTTGCTGGAAGAAACTGGGCAGCGATTTCAGGCCTTTTTTACGAGCTCCCGCGTTGTGCAGGTGGACGAAGCAATGCGCGTGCTCGAGCAAGCCAAGCCGCTGGAATTGCAAATCAAGCTTGGTCACGAGGAGTAGCCCATGCTTTGGCGCTTGAAATCGCGAGTGCGGTGTTCGTATGTCCAACACCCATAACAACGGACCTGATTTGTGTGGGTCGGTTGGGCAGCCTCTGATCCACTTCTCCCAGGTAAAGAGAACAGCGCCCGGGCCTGGGAATACGTTTCAGAAATAGTTTGCAAGACCGGCGAGTCAAGATTAGGAGCCCCTTTCAGGAAAGCCGAATGCGCTGC